TATAAGGTGACTGTGTGTATAAAGTGACTGTGTGTATAAGGAGACTGTGTGTATAAAGTGACTGTGTGTATAAGGAGACTGTGTGTATAAGGTGACTGTGTGTATAAGGAGACTGTGTGTATAAGGTGACTGTGTGTATAAGGTGACTGTGTGTATAAGGAGACTGTGTGTATAAGGAGACTGTGTGTATAAGGTGACTGTGTGTATAAGGAGACTGTGTGTATAAGGAGACTGTGTGTATAAGGTGACTGTGTGTATAAGGTGACTGTGTGTATAAGGTGACTGTGTGTATAAGGTGACTGTGTGTATAAGGAGACTGTGTGTATAAGGTGACTGTGTGTATAAGGAGACTGTGTGTATAAGGAGACTGTGTGTATAAGGAGACTGTGTGTATAAGGTGACTGTGTGTATAAGGTGACTGTGTGTATAAGGTGACTGTGTGTATAAGGTGACTGTGTGTATAAGGTGACTGTGTGTATAAGGTGACTGTGTGTATAAGGAGACTGTGTGTATAAGGTGACTGTGTGTATAAGGTGACTGTGTGTATAAGGTGACTGTGTGTATAAGGAGACTGTGTGTATAAGGTGACTGTGTGTATAAGGAGACTGTGTGTATAAGGAGACTGTGTGTATAAGGAGACTGTGTGTATAAGGAGACTGTGTGTATAAGGTGACTGTGTGTATAAGGTGACTGTGTGTATAAGGTGACTGTGTGTATAAGGTGACTGTGTGTATAAGGTGACTGTGTGTATAAGGAGACTGTGTGTATAAGGAGACTGTGTGTATAAGGAGACTGTGTGTATAAGGAGACTGTGTGTATAAGGAGACTGTGTGTATAAGGTGACTGTGTGTATAAGGTGACTGTGTGTATAAGGTGACTGTGTGTATAAGGTGACTGTGTGTATAAGGTGACTGTGTGTATAAGGTGACTGTGTGTATAAGGTGACTGTGTGTATAAGGTGACTGTGTGTATAAGGTGACTGTGTGTATAAGGAGACTGTGTGTATAAGGAGACTGTGTGTATAAGGAGACTGTGTGTATAAGGTGACTGTGTGTATAAGGAGACTGTGTGTATAAGGAGACTGTGTGTATAAGGTGACTGTGTGTATAAGGAGACTGTGTTTATAAGGTGACTGTGTGTATAAGTATGGACGGGTTCGCGGGGGCGGGAACGGACGTGTCGTCGTCGCGCTCCGGGAAAACACTGGAATAAACCGGACTTTTTCAGTATTACAATCATGTATTACGGCCCACTGTGATCACCAAGTCCATAGTGACCCGTAGGAAAGTTGAATACAGAAATTAACAATGAAACTTTGAGATAAATACAGAATAAACGTGGGATCACGTGGGGTGAGCCAGTGCCACCAGGCTCATGTGTACAGGCATATAGGGGTTATATATCAAATATAGCGAGCAGTGATACGTTGAACAGTGAAGTGGAACGTGTAACACAACATATAAATTAGTGGATAGTGTTAGAGAATTGTACATAGAAAAAGTATAAATGTAAAGTTGTGGAGGAGGCACCACACTAGGCTGTTTACACCACAGCCACGAGGGCCTACACAGTGTAGAGGACGTCCCTCAGTAACAGTATACTCCCTCAGTGTCAGTATACTCCCTCAGTGATAATATACTGGCAATATATATTGTAATATGGGAAGGTGGATTTAGGAACCAGTAATAGAGTAAGTGAATAACATTGCAAGCCGGAAGAAAGCAGAAAATCCCTTAGGATATTACAGGCAAATAGTCAGTGTATAAATCAAGTAACTGGCAACCGGTGGCATCCTGTCCCCGACCTGGGACAAACAACGGTCCCCAAGGGGACCATGTTTCTCCACAAGGCGATAAGTACCCCCACATAAACTTGAACAAATAAACATACATAATATTATAAATATACTATATACATATTTATATACATACATATTATATATACATACATATAATGTTATAAATATATTCATATAATATTTTAACACCACAAATCCAACATGGAGGTGTGTGGAGGCTGCTTTAAGTCACTTCGGAAAAGTATTGTAGGCATTGTATGTAACATTTGTAACATAAGATTTCACCTGAGTTGTACAGGATTACCTACACAATATGCAAACAGACAAGGTAACTACTGGATCTGTCAAAGTGACAGACAGATGTGGGAAAACATCACCAAACTAATGAATAACATTCCTGAAGTACACAAGCTACAATTCACACAAATACTACCAGAAATATATGCAGAGTATATGAAGACAGCAACGAACTCTGAACACAACCCAGGGACTGAGAGTTTAGAGAACCAAAGTAGCAATGTAGAAGGACATAGTGTCGAGGTACACAAAAATGAAGGCAATATTGTAGAGCAAACTGGTGATGTGAAAAATGAGACGAATGAGAACACAAATGAGAAAGACGAAAGCAACAAGGAGAAAGATAAGGACAATACCGAGAATGAATGCAGAAACGAGAAAGTTGGAACAAAAAACACAGAGGTAGCCAAGTCGTGCACGGGTACAAACAAGAATAATACAATCACAAATGAAAATATTTGCTGGTATTATGCAAAAGGACAGTGCAGATATGGGCCCAGAGGCACGGAATGCTCAGTCATGCACCCACGGAAATGCTGAAACTGGTTAGGGAAAGGCAGATGTCGTGTTGATACAGAGTGTAGATATTTTCACCCTAAGTAAGCTATGCACACTCTCAGTTAATGAGAGGAAATGCTACGATCTTCATTGCCCCGATTTCCACGTCAGAGGTACACAGCACTATATAAGAGAGGGGGGGGGGGGTAATATCAACCTCAAAGCACTTTATTTCCGTCCGATTTCAGAAATACTTCTTCTCCCATATGATTCTTTTTGTTAAACTTCCTGTTTCCATCTTCATTACTTTGTACTTGTTAGAATTGCACTCATGGGCCCCTCAAAATGGTCACTAATGTTAATTTTGTCCAGGTCCTCTTGTAGTTTCAGGCAGTCTTCCATTGTATTTATCCTCTTCATAATTTGTGCGTCGTCAACAAGCACTGAGCGGAAGGAATCTGTCCTCTGGTGGGGTCGTTCACGCCTGGAATATAATTGGCGCCAGAACTGACTCCTGCGGGACGCCACTAGTAACATCCCACCACTGAGAGGTCTTTCTCCTCGCACTGCGGCTCTCTGTCTTCCGTCGCAAAGGTACTCCTTTGTCCTCTGGTGTCGCCCCCTTGCCTGGACCATACCTGGAGAGGGTTCTGAGGGTTGTTCTACACGCGTGCCAATCATTCCTGCTTTTTTGTTCTCGTTTGTGCACTGATCTCCTGTGGGGGACTGTGTCGAAGGCTTGCTGACACCCCTGGGGTAGATAATGTGTTGGGGGAGCCCCTGGGGTAGATGATGTGTTGGGGGAGCCCCTGGGGTAGATGATGTGTTGGGGGAGCCCCTGGGGTAGATGATGTGTTGGGGAGCCCTGGGGTAGATGATGTGTTGGGGGAGCCCCTGGGGTAGATGTGTTGGGGAGCCCTGGGGTAGATGATGTGTTGGGGAGCCCTGGGGTAGATGATGTGTTGGGGAGCCCCTGGGGTAGATGATGTGTTGGGGGAGCCCCTGGGGTAGATGATGTGTTGGGGAGCCCTGGGGTAGATGATGTGTTGGGGAGCCCCTGGGGTAGATGGTGTGTTGGGGAGCCCTGGGGTAGATGATGTGTTGGGGGAGCCCCTGGGGTAGATGTGTTGGGGAGCCCTGGGGTAGATGATGTGTTGGGGAGCCCTGGGGTAGATGATGTGTTGGGGGAGCCCCTGGGGTAGATGATGTGTTGGGGGAGCCCCTGGGGTAGATGATGTGTTGGGGAGCCCTGGGGTAGATGATGTGTTGGGGAGCCCCTGGGGTAGATGATGTGTTGGGGAGCCCTGGGGTAGATGATGTGTTGGGGAGCCCTGGGGTAGATCTGGGGCACCTCAGGGTACTCCTGGGCACCTCAGGGTACTGGGGCCACAGAAGTATATAGAGCTCAAGGTGCCAGGTTGTCGAGAGGAGGAGAGACCAGAGCCAGTATTAGTGAGGAACTGTGTGGTGTGAGGGTCTGAGACGACCACGCCGGGAGTGAGAAGATGCTCTCGCTTAAGACTCTGACAGCGACAAGATGTCCCTGCCATGTAGAGCCAGGGAGCCCGCTCTATCCCGACCCGAGGCCACCGTCGCTCCTGCACTCTTCACGGCCGTTATGAATGGTGCGTGTGCCTGGTGGTGGCTCTATGTGCAGTGTGACGACACGCTCTCTCAACACTCTACTCAACACTTGCTCTAGTAATTGGTGTGATTGTTGTGTATGTCGGCCGCCTGTGGCAATGTTCGGGGCACACTTACGGAGATGGCGCTAACTTTATCATGCTCCTGGGTAGATTATTATGCTCCTGGGTAGATTATCATGCTCCTGGGTAGATTGTCATGCTCCTGGGTAGATTATCATGCTCCTGGGTAGATTGTCATGCTCCTGGGTAGATTGTCATGCTCCTGGGTAGATTGGCATGCTCCTGGGCCGGTTTACATGCTTATGGGTATATTGTCACAGTCCTGGGTAGATTGGCATGTTCCTGGGTAGATTGGCATGTTCCGGGGTAGATTGGCATGCTCCTGGGTAGATTGTCATGCTCCTGGGTAGATTGACATGCTCCTGGGTAGATTAACATAATAAAACGGTAAAATGAATTTTGTAGAATTAATTGTTAAAGTTCTCAAAGCAAGAAAGCCACAAGAAATATAGAAAATTATTGTGATTAGAATCATTGATCTAAACTTTCCTATAATATCCAGTAACATATTTATAATTACAAAAGAAAATGTCGACCTGTCGATCCGAGGTTATGTAGCACCATAAAGGTGTTTAGCTGTGTTTTTTATTTAATTTGTTAAATAGTGAACATTAAGTTAAATTGCTGGAATTATGATATTTATCATGTTAAATATACTTGATTAACTTGCTTTTTAATCTGATTTTAATTGTGTTCCGTAGATCTTGAATTTTCTGATATATTGCAAGCTAGAGTGAGGAGCACTCGGAGTTCACTGGTTTAAAGAGTATGAGTGTAGGAGAGTGAGTGTAGGTGAGTGTTGGTGAGTGTTGGAGAGGGGGTGAGTGTTGGAGAGGGGTGTGTTGGAGTGTTGGAGAGGGGGTGAGTGTTGGAGAGGGGGTGAGTGTTGGAGAGGGGGTGAGTGTTGGAGAGAGATGAGGGGTGAGGAGGGAGAGAGCGTTGGAGAGGGGTGAGGGGTGAAGAGGGAGAGGGAGGGAGTGAGTGTTGGAGAGACGTGAGGAGGGAGAGGGGGTGAGTGTAGGAGACGTGACCTGGGGACAGGAGTGAGTGAGCACCTGTGAAACACCAACTGTTGTGAGTATAACATTTTGGCGTGAAGGTGTCATGTGTGTGTAAACACGGTACCCGGCACCATGTTGGTGAAGGCGGTACATGCAAATGCAGTATACCCCTGGTATACCGAGGGGAAGGTGCTACTCGAGAGCACAGTATCCCTCGGGAGACCTGTGGGAAGGTGCTACATGAGTTTACAGTATACCAGAGTGAAGCATTTTATCCCACGACCAAAATTCAGAGTTTAAATATGACAATACATTATGTAACATTGGATACTCTTAGGACGAGTGGTTTCTCCTACTAATGATAGCACATGAAGTAGTGTGTTCTGGAGGGATCAGTGTACACAAGTGTACATCTTGGTGCAGTACACTGTGTGCTTCCTTCAGTTATTCACTGTGGGAGTCTTAATGAGCTTCGTAAGTACTTGCGTAACTGCTTCATGAATCTGGCGCCAGATCCTCCCAGCCCCCCTCACAACCCAGGTTAATTTCCCCCTCCCCATCCCGGACCCTCCCTGTTTCCCTACTCGAGTAGAATCAACAGAAACTGAGGATGGACAGAAAAGAGTCAGCTTCAAGGTGATGTACTCGAACATAGATGGGATTACAAACAAGTCAAGTAAACTTAATTAAAAGAGCACAAGTAAACACAGATGTAATTGGACTCTCAGAAACAAAACTCTCAGGAAATGTAATGAATGCGGTGTTTCCTAAGGACTCTGCTGCCTGTAGAATTCGATCCCATCTGCTCATCATTGGAGACTTTAATCACGGAAGGATAGACTGGGAGAACAAGGAACTGCATGGAGGAAAGCTAAACAACTGAAGATGCCAACAAAAAAATGAAATAGACAAAAAATGACCTAGACAAACTGAATGAATGGTCCAACAAATGGCTTATAATGTTTAACCCGAGTAAATGTAAGGTAATGAAACAAGGCAGTTGAAACAGGAGGCCAGACACAGGATACAGAATGGGAGCTGAAGTCCTTTATGAAACGGACTGAGAGAAAGATCAAGGAGTTGTCACACCAAACCTGTCTCTTGAAGCTCACATTAAAAGAATAACATCTGCGGCGTATGCGAGGCTGGCTAACATCAGAACCGCCTTCAGGAACATGTGTAAGGAATCGTTCAGAACCTTGTATACCACATATGTAAGACCAGTCCTGGAGTATGCGGCCCTAGCATGGAGCCCGTACCTTGGTAAGCACAAAACGAAGTTTGAAAAAGTTCAGAGATATGCCACTAGGCTAGTCCCAGAACTAAGAGACATGAGTTACGAGGAAAGGCTGCGTGAAATGCACCTCACGACACTGGAAGACAGAAGAGTAAAGGGAGACATGATCACTACCTACAAAATTCTCAGAGGAATTGACAGGGTAGATAAAGATAAACTGTTTAACACGGGTGGTACGCGAACAAGGAGACACAGGTGGAAACTAAGTTCCCAAATGAGCCACAGGAACGTTAGAAAGAACTTTTTCAGTGTCAGAGTAGTTAACAGATGGAATGCATTAGGGAGTGATGTGGTGGAGGCTGACTCCATACACAGTTTCAAATGTAGATATGACAGAGCCCAGTAGGCTCAGGAACCTATACATCAGTTGATTGGCAGTTGAGAGGCGTGACCAAAGAGCCAAAGCTCAACCCTCGCAAGCACAACTAGGTGAGTACAGCAGGGAGGAGGGGGGGAGGCGTATATTCACATTTTCTCTAACTTCAATTAACTTTCTTTCAATGAATCGTTTATGTTGTGTAGTGATGTGATGAATCAACACAGCCTCGCACGTGGTGGTGGTGTATAGTGGTGTGTGGTGGTAGTGATGAATCAACTGAGCCTCGCACGTGGTGGTGTGTGGTGGTGGTAGTGATGACTCAACACATCCTCGCACGTGGTGGTGTTGTGAGGGGTTTAAACCAGGCAGTCAACAGCTGTAGGAGTTAAGGCGTCGTGTTAACACGGAGGTGCAAGTCATCAGCTGTCGGGGTGTAGTGTTACCGCCTGTTTATACCCGCTTTAAACTCACAAATTATGCTAATTGTGTTTACTTTGTTGGTGTAAGTACGGCTAATGAAAGGCATTTATGGGTATGACGCGTGGAATGGGGGGGGGGGAGGGAGGGAGGGGGAGGGGGAGAGAGAGAGGGAGAGAGAGAGAGACGTAGTAGTGTGACTCTTCAGTGACCATGAAGAGCCATGTGTTGATCAAACAAGCAAGGTAGTCAAGCACCATATAGTCATAAAGCACATCTCGCTGCTTCTCGACAGTAGAGGTTGTAAAACTTTACGTGAAGCTAAAGTTCGCTCTCGTAGTGACTAAGAAGCGCTCACTGAAAAGGCCTGCATTCCCCCCTCCCCCCCCCATCATTTACGTAATTCTAGGCAAGGTAGAACGTCGAGGGTCTTCTTCTGGTCTTGACCCGTCCTGGTGGGTCAGGTCAGTACACGAGACCCTTCAACACCTGAGATATATCGTGGCTGTTATATTATGTACAAGTCCAATGTCATCAGGATTCCCCACTTGGCCCAACTCCGTGGATAACTAGTAGGTGGCACTCACAACATAAGGCGCTCAGCCATCAACAGCCTCATGCTACCCGTGTCATTCCATCAAGGATCATTCATTCGTGTAGGTTAACTCGCGTGTGTAAAGTGTTTGCTCCACACGGAGGTGCCCGTAAGGTGGAGTGACCTTGGTGAAGACTGTGGCACACAGCGAGGTCCAGCGTCACCCTCTATCTTCTTGAGATGATTTCGGGGCTTTAGTGTCCTCGCGGCCCGGTCCTCGACCAGGCCTCCACCCCCAGGAAGCAGCCCGTGACAACTGACTAACACCCCAGGTACCTATTTTACTGCTAGGTAACAGGGGCATACTCTGCCCATTGTTTCTCGTTGGCGCCCGGGATCGAACCCGGGACCACAGGATCACAAGTCCAGTGTGCTGTCCGCTCGACCGACCAGCTCCCAACCTAACATGATTGGAACGTAAACATTAAATATAGTTTAATTGCTAATGAGAACCTAATAATAAGCTTATTAAATTAATGAGTTTCTAGGGCAAGGTTGCAAATAATTTGATGCTGGATAACGGCTCCTACCTCTTATCACCAGGACCATCAGTGCTAGTAACAAAAAGATTGAGGCCACACAGAGACGCGGGTTCGAGCCCAACTTATGGTCTTAAACAAAAAAAACTAATTAGATACAAGGCCTAATTACATACAAGGCCATACATACATTAATACATACATTACATAGAAGGCATACTAACTAGATATACTAACTACATACAAGGCTTAAAATCAAAATCAGGAATAAAATTAAGTTCATAAATGGCCTTCTAATAGAATCGAACTCCAATATTTGGTGCATTTAGAGAAACCCACAGAAAAGACCACATGGATAGTGAAATCTGGATCCCAAATTATAATCTATATAGATGTGACAGAGTAATTAGGTCAAGTGGAGGAGTAGGTCTGAATATCAAAGATTAACTGTCATGCATAGAGCTCCTGAACTCAACCAATGAGGTGGTAGAGGTACTTGGAATCAAGGTAGAAAATATAAATCTAATTATTCTAATATACAAACCACCAGATGCAACAGTTGAGGAATTCACTGAACAGATCCACAAAATAGAGATAGTCCTTGATAACCCAGCAAACCCAGTACCAGATATTATCTTCCTTGGAGACTTCAATCTACCCAGTTCACAAGGGAGAATATTAAACAATAACATTATAGCAGGAAGTCAACCTGGAAATAACCAATCACATGTCAGAGAACTACTGAGATTCTGTGACAAATTCTCGCTCAGTCAGCAGATTACAGAACCAACTAGGAACGAGAATACGCTGGACCTGATATTCACGAACAATGAGGAGCTAATCAGAGACATTACTGTCTCAGACACTACGTACTCGGACCACAAGCTCAGTGAAGTGCAAACTAACATTAATAACGGTAGTAGGCCCAAGAGAAACAACAAGCGAGAAGGACTATTCAATAAATTCAATTTTAATAATAAGAGGATAGACTGGGAGAAAATAAACAGGGAACTTACAAACATTCAATGGGAAATGTTCTAAGTAATAAAATTCCTACATAAAGAAGGAAAAAAATAACGGAAATGCTTAAGCAGACACGACTTTCCATACAAAGAAAGAATAATTTAAACAGGGAGATTGAAGAAATCGAACAGAGACTGACGCATTCCTATCAGATTGAAGAAAGGCAACTGAACAGAAAGCAATTCAAGAAATAAAGAAAAACCCAAAATATTTCTTCACATATGCGAAATCAAAAGCAAAAACCACTGCCAGTATTGGACCTATTCGTACTAATGAAGGTTCAGACACTGAGGATGACAAAGAAATTAGTGAAATCCTAAAAAAGCAGTATGAGTACATATTTAGCACTCCGATACACAGCATGAAGGTGGAAGATCCGGACAACTTCTTTATGCGTGATATCCAAACCACGCATAGTAGGCGCCGCGACATAGAAGATGGGAAGTCATTGTTTATGCTCCTGAGATCCACAGTGGTCTTGTCACTGTCTTCCCAGTGGCTGTGGCGTCTCACTGCTCGTCCCAGAACCAACCTGTCCTCTTACAAACAACGTCGCTTTTCACTCGTATGCGTTCCATAAGGTCAAAAATGGTCGCACTAGA